GAGTTTCAGTGACTTTCCATTTAAGAATGCGTGGCACATTTGTGCCAACACGAACAACAAGATGCTTGTCAACCATAGAGCAACACTAAAAACACCATATTTGTAACGCAAGTGGCAAACTTCCGAGCCTATACATTGTCAAATAGTCACATTGTTTGTCCTTCATTGCCTTTAAAATATCTTCAAATAACTTTTTTCGCAAGCATACGTCTGATATTGACCACTTTCAATGATATCAAAATCATCTTTGTTGATACCATGATTATTGGCATCTGAGAATATGAAATGATGGATAAACACCATCAAGGCCATCTTGAACACATCTTTGTCCGCTTTCCAGTCTTTTTTCTTGAAGCGATCAAGAAGTTTCCCCCTCGTTATAGCCCTTTTTCCATCTCCTAAAAAATACTTTTTTAGCAATCTATTGACATCTGGTTTGTCATAGAAAGTGGCGTCTTCTTCTACACACTTCAAACCAGTGATAACAACAAACTTTCAAATGCCAAACTGCAGTAAACAACCATTGATTTTAACCCACAACTCCCTTTCCTGCCTCGGGATGACATCCCTCAATAGTATATAATGAATGAGTTGATTTTGAATTTTAAATTGAGGCAGGTCCACGAAGTAGCCAAAACATCTAGCACGGAACAATTGAAACTGCGTATCAGTCAAATATTGCTTCAAAATGCTGAAAATATCAGTCTCGGTATAGGAACTAATCCTATTGTGGAAATGATCAGCTGATTGTATATAGAAATTTCCAACCTTGCATATGGAAAAACAACAAAAAAGAAATCAGGAACAAAAACTATACTAAAATATTGTATAAACATGTATAAATCAATGTAACAGTACTTGTATAAAGATGTATAAACAACTATATAACTTTGTATGAAATTGTATAAGGAGGTATAAAATTAATAGCAACACAGGGAATACCTTCAACTTAGCTTTTCTCTCCTTGAATTTACAGCGAGTAGCAATCCTTGCTATTTGGATATGCAATCAAGACCACTCTCACCATCGTCCTCGATCTTGCTCTTTTTATGCTTAACGTCCTCGATTTTTCTCTTTTTCGGTTTAGCATTAGGACCTACATCATCTTTATCAGCCAAATCAAATTTCAGCTTTTCTTTGGATTTTTCATGTCTCCCGCATTTCTTACTCCTTATTCTAACAATGTTAATGGAGTATGAGTATTCTTCGTTTACGAACGAGTCATTCAACTACTCTCTTGTTGCGATTTTTTTGTAAGAGCAGGAGACTCAAAATCATCATCATCGGGGGCCTGGACATGCCCATTCGCTTCAGAATCAGGGATTGAGGGCAAGTCCCTCGATGTTTTCGCAAAATCGAGCTTAACACCTTTTCCAGCAACCTTCATACGACTTTTAAAAGTAGATATTTTCGAACGTATTTTCTACAATAAAACAAACAAAGCTTTAACAAAAGTGAAGACAAGTGAAGAAAAACACAAAAATCAATCCAAAAACAAAGGCCATGAACACAAAGCATAGGCCAATTTTCCTAAATTGTAACAAAACTCAAAAATAAATTCTACTCTAAAAGTCGAAATAATAAAGCATGCAAACTGAAACACCAAATTTAGGCCAGAACGAAAATAGAAGGAACACAAAATCGAATGGAAAATACAACAACATTGTAAAAAAATATTCAAAATCAGAAAAGCCAAAAAATTAAAATAAAACAAAATTTAAAACCAAAACAGTGGTAAAAGCATAAAAGGAAATGAAAATTACCTGAAAATAAGAGTGAAAGCTCGAAAAATCACTTGAGACGCAACAATGGAGGACGGTTGCCTTCGTACTTCTGTGAAAAAAGCGTGAGAAGAACAGAGAGAGAAAAATTTAAAAAGAAAACTAAAATACCGTTAATAATATTTGTGGTCTACCGGGTGAAAATAAAATTTCAAAATATATACAACCTGGGCTAAACCAGGTTAGGGCTTCAAATGTGAGCTATTTTCGGATGAGTCAAGTGATATATGATGTAGTTTTATCTAAAAATAAAACGGTTAAGGATAAATATATCAAAAAAGTATAACGAAAGACAAATATAATACTTTTCGAAGAGTACAAGTGTAAATAAAATCATGTTTCATTAATCAATAGGTGTCTATTCTGAAGGGCAGTTTTGTCAATTCGAATGTTTATCCAAGTATAACTAATACAGATTTATACAAATTATATACGGGGATTATTTCTCCTAATAGTACGTGTAACCAAACTTGTCCACGGTCCTATTTTTGCATTAGTCTCTATGTCTTCCGCTTTCAACAATGTTTTGCCTTTCCAAGAAACTGTTAAAAGTAAAATTTACTGTATATGCTTCACTGGCTCTGACAGTTTAATCAATGCAAAATGAGACTATTACCTATAACGAAAACTGATGAAAAAGATTAGTAGAAAACCCCAATAAATTATTTTTTGTAAAATAAGTATTTGAAAAAACGATTTAAATCTTCTTTCACATAACAAAGAAAAGGGGTAGAAAAACCTGCTCTGGTTAAAATTTAATTATCAGCACTCTGCAGTCTGCAGCTGAGGTAACCTTTTTTCCTTGCTCCATTCTCTACTAGTACAATGAGATTATTTTGAAGTACTGAATTAGAAAGCTAAAAGGGTGAAGCTTGGTACTCAAAACCAGCTCTCTTTCTTTCTCTTGCAAATTTTGTGCGGAGAAAAGTTGTTTGAACTTTACTTAGAAAGATTTATAGCCCGTTTGGCCAACCTGCAAAAATCAGTTTATTTTGAGAAGTATTTTTTTCAAAAGTGCTTTTCTTAAAAGTACTTTTGGTGAGAAATAATTTGTGTTTGGCTCATTAGTTTGAAAAGCACTTCTGAGCAACAATTAGTGTTTGACCAAGCTTTAAAAAACTGCTTCTAAGTTTATTTTTTTCAAAAGTGCTTCTCAAAAAAGTGATTTTGGAGAGAAACTACTTTTTCTGTTTCTCCTCAAAAACACTTTTTTTTCTTCAAAAAACTTGGTCAAACACCTTAATTTTTTGCTAAAAATGCTTTTGGCAAAAAAAAACTTTTGGCCAAAAGGAAGCTTATAACCTGTTTGGTACTTAAATTCAATCTCACACTCTGGTGATCAAATATACTTTTCTTAGCTTAGTTGTATTGCAAATGTTCGTTGCAGTGACAATTTAATTGTTCAACAGATCCACTAAGATCATCTGTCTATCTATGTTTTATCTGGAGCTAGTTGTGTGATAATTGGATGTATAGCTTCTAAGTTCTAACATTTCGGCTGATCGTTATGTTACAGTATTAGTTTTGGCCCTCTGCTATATCAAAGGGTGGGTCCTTTTGAAATGGATGTTGAATTTTGGGGGTATAATATAAGCAGTAAAAAAGTCTCTTCACTAGTGTAGGTCCATCTCCATATTGGAGCAAACCAACTTGGAAAAATGAAACCACTAAAAAGACGAAATTCAATCTTACTTAGCCTTTCAGAAACCATAGAGACTGATTTGACAGCTAGCTAGGAATTTAGAATAATATTTCCCTTTAATGTAACGTCACATTGAATCTTAATGTATCCATTTTTTAGCCCATTCTCTGTCGTCGTAGTTGGTTTTTGCTACTTTTAACATGATCTTTCTTCAAAAATATTTTTTTTTCTTTTCAAAAGCTTGACTAATCACTTTAAGTTTTGGCCAAAAATGCTTTTGGCAAAAAAAAAAAAAACACTTTTGGCGCTTATAGTCCTTGCTTCAAGTTTGGAACTTTTCCGTTGGTTTCTGTTGATGGTACTGGTATATTATTTCTTTTCGTCTTCTCCAGCCGAGGGTCTTTCAGAACAGCCTCTCCACTACCTCGGGTAAGGGTATCCTCCCCAGATTCCACTAGTGAAATTTTATTGGGTTGTTGTTGTTGTTCAAGTTTGAAAATTTTTCCTTTCCTAGGATTTCCTTTTTATCCTTTTACATTTACTGGAATTCTAGAAGGTTTAACATGCTTGTTTTCTATGCTAATTTCATGTTTAACAAACAAAAATTAGCTAACTTTACCTTAAAATTTGACGTGTGATAAACTTATTGTTTGAGCCTATTTTGAAAATTCTGATTGGTCAAAGCTTAGATAGAATGTTGAAACTTTTTTGATTTGTTTGGGATTCCGTTTTGACGCCCTATTGGATTTGATGAAATCAGAGGTGGGGTTAGAATTTGAAGTTTATGGATTTTGAATTTGTGACTGAACTCATAACTTATTTTATCTACTAACTTTGCAATTAAATATTTATATATATTTTATAAATTTTCTGATACAAATAATGACTTTAAGCAAAAGTTGCTGGGTTGGTCCAACCGTAGTTAATGCTCCTCCCCCGTGGATGAAATCCTTCGTCTTATACAGTAGTCATATGTTCAATTCTATCTTTCATATTGATATGACGGGGATATTCTGCTTGAGATAACCTTCAAAAGTAGGTTTACTTTTTTTGCTGACATACTTTTAGATTATGCTTTTTCTTCCTACAGCCAAAAAATTTATCGACTTGCTTGTTTTTTATTCCTATCATGTATTTAGAATTTGGTTGTTTAAACCTTGAGATGTTTTACTTAAAGGAAAAAATTCTTATAATCTTTTATTTCAAGACGCTTGGTCAGTGCTCATGCATTTGTGTCCTTCTTATGGATTACTATTATTTTAGTATATTTATCCTTGATAAGTAAAGTTGTTGTCATGTGACCAGGAGGTTACGGTTCGAGCCGTGGAAACAGCCTCTTACAGAAATGCAGAGTAAGGCTGCGTACAACAGACTCTTATAGTCTGGTCCTTCCCCGGACCCCGCGCATAGCGGGAGCTTAATGCACCGGGATGTATGTATGTGCCTCGATAAGTAACTCACTTTAAATTCATTTTATTTCTTGATCAGGTTTTAGTTTTCCAAATTGTTACCCTTCTCAGGAAAAAAAAAGTTTTGAAGATTGCTACGGTTTCTGTGGTTATGTATACTAATTCATGATGGGAACTGAAGATAAAACGTTGCTTTGTTACTGTCATTGGGGAAGAAAGAATAAGGTGCTACGAAATGGATCCATTTTGTATATGGGAGGTATTACTGATCAGATTATTATGAAGACAGGTATAAAGTACAATGATTTTGTGAATGTAGTTTTTGACCGATTAGGCATTGATCCTTCAGATAAGATCTTGCATTTTACAGTGAAGTTTGATAGGTCAGAATTGATACGGCTGAGGGACCAAGAAGGTGTTGATACCCTGTTACAATTTAATGATGATTTTGCTCATGTTTATGCATCAAGTTTGGAAAAGGAGCTTTATTCTAGACTGCCCTCATGTGGCCCGGCAAAGGTTGAACTTATTGGAAAAGCAATTTCTGATAGTAATCCTGCAAAGGTGTATGATTATCCTGATCCTCAATTCATCAGTGATTTTGACAAGCATAAAGCAGATAATTGCTTTGCAATTGACCAAATCTGGGCTTGCTACGATACGGATGATGTTATGCCAAGATTCTATGTCCACATTAGGAAGGTATCCATTCCCGAATTTAATGTGATTTTCAGTGCGGAACCAAAATGTGGTTTATTTTACTCAAAATACTCAAATAAGTGTAAAAAAAAGTTACCAAACTATATATAACGCCACTAATAGTGGCGTTATACTGACAAACCTTACATAGCGCCATTAATAGTGGCGCTATATGCCTTATTACCTGAACATATAGCGCCATTAATAGTGGCGCTATACCCCTTAATACAAATCCTTCATCTTCTTCTTCTTCGTTCCATCTCCCTCATTTTCATTTCTGGTCCCCACCACCACCGATTCTGCCCCCATTTTTTTAAAAAAAAAAAA